TTCTAGACAGGGGCGGATTCTGAGAACACAGTGGTGACCGATGAACATTAGTCGTGCCACGGAAATGCTTTTCTCGTTAATGATTTGGAATTACGAAGTGTCCTCTTATTGCTTTGTTTGGATTCATTTGCATTTATGTTCTGTCTGCAGTGGAAAGCTAGCTTTCCTACATGGCTGGGGTGATCCTTTCCCAGAATGCAGCACAGGAGGAAAAGGTGGTTTCAAATACAGCAAGTGGCAAGAATGGGGAAATCGCTTTGCCAGCCCTAAGATGGGAATTTGTTTAGAGAAATAGAACAGGCATGTGTTTCCATTGGCTCTTTTGAGGGAATATTTTAGTTTGCAGCAGCATAATGATTGGATTTGGTGAAGGTTGAAAAAATTACAAGTTGAGGCTCAGTATTTTATGAAGATAAAAAAAAATCCAGTTTTTTTTTTATTTTTGATTTTCTTGAAAGGGAGAAACGGGGGTTTCACTCAAACTAATTTAAACTCTGAATGTTTGGGCAGCGTGACCTCAACCTTGTGATTTCTCCACTCTTGCGTCTTGCTCTGCTTGAAGCTACCTTTTCCTCCTGAACACAGTCCCTGTGCCAGGCCTTCATGCTACCACAAACTCATCTGTCCCCACACGGTACTGTTTGCATAACACAGAACCTGGCATTACCTAAATTTGGCAGGTAAGAGGACATTTAGAGTCAACCTAATAGTGATGACCCAAAACGTCAGCATGAAAGTAACTCGAGAAGTACAGCTTCTCTGTCTTCCCTTAATTATTCATGGAGCAGATCCCATAGCCTCATCTGGCATGCTAGTTCCCACAGGCAGGAAACACTGGGTATATATCCCAAGATTTTCCGCTTCTCATGCATGGCTCCCACCTTGTGAAGCAGGGTGAAGCTGGAATAGGTGACCACTCATCTCTTTCTACTAGAGTTTTTGTGATATACTATAGCAGGCATTAATGATGCCTAAATTGCTTGGAGATTATTATTGCCAGATGATCCAGTAACTGCATTCCTTTATTATCCAAAGGTGTTGAAGTATGTTCATACAAAAACCTGCCCCCTGATGTATATAGTAACTTTGTTCACAATTGTCAAAATTTAAAGCAGCAAAGATATCTTTTGCAGGTGAATGGATAGATGGTGATGTATACAGATAATGGTTGTAGGAGGCCACATGTTTGTTTCCCAGCTGCCCAGACTCCAGAAATTGTATTAATTAAATCACTGCCTGGCCCAGTAGCTCTAGTTTCTTATTGGCTAACTCTTACATCTTAATTTAACCCATTTCTATTAATCTGTGTGTCACCACGAGGCTGTGGCTTACTGGGTAAAGTTTCAATGTCTGTCTCTGGCAGGGCTACATGGCTTCTCTCTGCCTCTGCCTTCCTTCTCCCAGCATTCAGTTTAGTTTTCCCCACCTAGCTCTGTTCTCCACTGCTCTGCCATAGGCTCAAAGCAGTTTCTTTATTAACCAATGGTGTTCACAGCATACAGAAGGGAATCCCACATCAGATAATGGAATATTTTGAGTGCTAAAATGATATGAAGTATCAACCTCTAAAAAGAACATGAAGAAAACTTAAGCATAGGTTACTAAGTGAAAAATCAAACCTGAAGTGAAGAGACTTCATATTGCAGGAGTGACTTTTGAGTGTGACATTTTAGAAAAGGCGAAACTATGGGGATGGTAAAAAAAAATCAGGGATGGAGCAAGGGAAGGATAGAATATTTGGGGGACAGTAAAAATTACACGTAATGACAGATATGTGCCATTGCACATATGCTCATACACACAGCACATAGGATGGGTCTAACCATAGACCATGAACAGGGGCTCTTTTCTACTATGGTGACCAATGAACTGTCACAGAGACACTCCCACAGTTAAGTGAGTGGTCATGGCAGGCTGTGAACATCTGGGCATAGGAGGGCCCCTAGTACTGCAAATTTGTTATTAGGACAAAACTGTTCTTAAAAAAATCATGTCTTAATTAAATAATTTCATGGACTTATTAATGTGAAGTTTCTTGTTGGTTTCTTCTTTTTTCCAAACCTAGGACATTACTTTGATTTTTATTTAATGTCTCTGTAACAACAAATAGATTTTGCCCTGTCCTGAATAACAACTCAAAATCTTATGTCTCACCTTGTCGCGACCGACTTGACCAGCAAGGAAGACGCAACACAGACTCTTCTTTCTGCGGTTTATTCAGGAACCTTGAACAATCTTCTGACTGACCACAGGGAAAGCCAGTCCACAGCTTAAATAGCCTCTGAGTAGCCAACCCCAGCAAGCCATGTGGGAAATGCAAATAGGTCCAGAAACACGGAAGCAAGCCAGATCCTTAGCCTTAGCCATATATGGAGTTGTTACGACCGAGAGTACTCACCATCGGGGAGGTGGAAGACGGAAACCAGCACCATCTTTAAGGCGCAGCACCACGGAGCTCTCTACATCACCTTAATTATAAACACTGGTATTATAAACTTCTAATTTAGTGTTTTCCTTGCCAAGTCATTTGATGGTAGCAGTACAAATTCACAATTTATACTGTGTGGGAGTTAGGGCTTTGTGCTGACATGTTATGTGTTTGTGATAAAAGGTTGTTGGGAAGACCATCACTGTGGCTCCTATTCTCGTTCCTATGTTTCTAAGTTATCTGTGAAAGATGCTGTCTGTAGTGATGAGATTTGTGTCTTAAATGTCTCCAAAAGCCATATGAAGAGGGCTTGATCACTCCGACAGTGCTATTGGGTGGTGGCAAAACATCTAGGAGATAGGCCTTGTGGTGGTTTGATGGAGATTGACCCCAGTAGACTCCTACATTTGAATGCTTGGTCCTTGGTTAGTGGAAGTGTTTTGGAAGGATTGGCAAGTATGGCCTTGTTGAGGGAGATGTGTCACTGTGGGTGGCTCTGGAGTTTCAGAAGACCATGCCAGGCCCAGTTAGTTCTCTTTGCCTGCTTCTGAATTAGATGTAATCTCTTAGCTACTGCTTCTGTGCCATGCCTGTCTTCCTGTTGCCATATTCTTACCATAATAATTATGTACCTACCTAAAACCCTCAATGAACTCTTCTATAAGTTTATAAGTTGTCTTGGTCATGGTGTCTCTTTGTAGCAATAGAAAAGGAACTGAGACAGGGCCTAATAATGGAATTATTATGGAATTATTATTACAGGAACAATAATAATGGAACTACATTAAATTATTAAAGGCTTACCATTCTCTACTTGTTGCCACCATGGATAAGCAGCTTTTCTTCAGCACACACTTTCTGCCATGACCTTTTGCCTTACCCTAGACCAGAGTAAGAAGATTAAGTGAACTGAAACCTTGGAACTCTGAGCCAAAATAGATCTTTCCTCTTGATAAGTTGATGTTCTCAGCCTTTGCCACAGTGGTTGAAATTTAACACAATAATCATTAACAACACAATTTTTGTTGGTAATATTCAATAGTTCTAGTATAGAATAGAAAAAAATATTAATATAATAATTAGGCATGGGAGAAAAGGGTCTGCATTTATGTTACGGGGCATAAGTATCCGGTCAGTCACTCAGATTATGTGTGATTCTGATTATGGCAAATCTCTTCCGCTGGAAGACCAGATGAGGCAATGCCTGTAAGAATGTCTAAGCACAGTGCCGAATGGCAAGTGTTTGTTAGTGCGGAGGATTGGAGACATTTTCTGGCTTATAAACAAATCAGAAGATCCTTCAGATAGATCACATCTTCTTGCTTCTTGAATAGAAGAGAATGCATATCCAGGTGACTGTTCCTTCCCTAATACCAGACCCTCTTGCTCACTCTTGCTTCACCTGTCCTTTGGAACCATGAAGCCAGTGAGGAAGCCAACGGATACCTGTAATTCTCTGATCTCAACTCCCTGACGCCCAGTCTAAGCTGCTTTGTCTGTGGCTGGGAACATGCACACATGCGTGACCTCTGCCATTGTTCCTTCACATTCTTGGAGAGCCGCAACCCATCAGTTCCTTACTCTGGGAAGGTGTGAAGGCAGGGCTGACTCCACCAGAGGCAGGGAGTGCTTATGGCAGAGAAGATGAGACAGAGGTGGGTATAGCATTCCAAGTCCTACCCCTACTCACCTACTGTGACCATCCAGGCTCAGTCTTTCAAATAGGGTCACTAGTAGGAACAAAGAATTCAAAACAGTCTGTGAGGAACTTTTCAGGTTGAAACCATGGCAACAAACACCTATTTTCTTTTGCCTTATTAAACAAGACAGTAGGATGCTGTGGGAGAAAGTTAAAAAAAAATAGCATAGATCGTACCAGTGTGTTCTTGTATTGGCTCATGCCACCTGGGCGCTTGAGGCCTTTCAGTAATTCTTTCACGTTTAGTAAACTGACTCTTCAGTTCTACACAGATTCATCTCAGCCACACACTTGTTTTCCACAACCCTGGCATTCCTTTACTGCCCTCATTTGTAACTGATAACTAACTTTGCTTCCAAGGGAGTGTGAGCGTACGCTCACGCCTGCACGCATGCAATGCACGCACACACACACACACACACACACACACACACACACTCAGTGCCGTAGTTCAATTATATGTAGGCCTTTCCATCTGGGAGGCTGTCAGAATACAGCGATAAGACAGTTCCTTGGTGGTCCACCCCTGATACTGCGGCAACAGCATGCAGCAGGGAGGGGTCACATCCCCAAAGAAACCAGCTAACACTCAGGAGCTGCAACGGGTAAAGAGAGGAGACTAAATCTAAGGGGGAAACCATTAGCTCTCCGCGTTGGGATCCACTCTTAGGGCACCTTTCACCTGCTCGATTTTCTCATCCAGCTTTCCTTGCTGGTCACTTGTCAGTTTCGTTATCTCCTTCCTTCCAGCGCACTGGATCAACCAACAAGATGCTCTCCCATGTGCAAGCTGGCGATATCCTCACGACCAGATGCCTTGTGAGAACCACGCAGCTGCCAACGTCTCTGTCCAAACAACTGAGAACACTGGCTGGGGTTTGCAGCAACTTTGAAAGCACTAATCCAAAGTTGGCGGCCGACGTTTGATTTGACTGACTAAAACCCAGATATTCCGTTTGCCGACTGAGTTCCCACGGGCGAGCAGATGCGCTTGCGGCCCCTGTTCAGGGTGGTTGAGCTGAGACAAGAGGCCCACTTCCTAACAACAAAGGCGTGCCTAGGACAGCCAGGGGCAGTATCAGCGCTGGAGAGAGAAGCTTTCTGCCTGATGCGGTCCAGATGAAAGAAAAATCTTTGATGTTTTAATGTGTTCTTTTAGTTTCAGCTAATATGTTTATTTTTCTGCTGATTAGGAGGCTTGCTTTCAAAATCCCCAAATTGTTCAAAAGGACCAAGATCCTGTGTGACTCGCGCTGGCTTTGTCAGAGATCTTAAGTCATGCTGCCTTCCTGTCTCCGTGCTTCCATTTTGGCATGGGAGAGCATTGCAAAAAGGTAAATTTATTAATGTCATTCATATTTGTGATGGTTGCCCTTCAAGTTTGGAGTAAAATCCAAAATTCTTACTCAGATTTCCACGCCACCTCCTCAACCCCCTGTGCACTGGGCACAGTGTTCTTAATCCAAACATGCCAATTGCACTATGACTTTAGGACCTTTGTGATCTTTCCTCCTGAAGGGCCTGAAAAACTTGCTCAGTTAAGCTTTCCCTGTGTATTTGATAACTGCTTGGTTCACATGAACAGGATTGTGGCAAGTCTTTATTTATTTAGCACACCTGAGCTTCTCTTACTTACCACCCTTGGAATGAACAGACACATATGCCTATGGTCATCATATTTTATATTACAAATGGCACCATACATTTCTCTAAGAAATAGTATATTGTCTATACCATATAAGTCTAGTGTTTAAACTGAAAAGTTTAATTAGTGAAATCCCATCTACCTGTTAGATTTATAATATTGAGCATTTGAGGCCAAGACGACCTGATCTTGGCTTCTCTGATTGAGACTATGCTTCTGTAATAAAGAGCCTTAAGTGCAGAATGGCTTTGGTAAAATAAAGAGTTCTCTGTCACGTACAGCACTGGTAGCCCTGGGGGCCCTGACTTCTCTATCAGGACTTTCAACAATTCAAATTCCATTCATATTTCTGCTCTAGAAACCCTGAAGAGTCCTCCTCTGCATAGCCAACCTAGCCTGCGGCCATATATATGACCTTACACACAGGAGAAAGAGAGAGAGCAGCTGACTTCTAAGCCAGGGCAGTGGAATTTTCACTCATCACTTGTGGTCATTTCCTTGGCTCAGTGAGGCTAACAAATAATCTCTATATGTTCATCAATGCCTGTGGAAATTGGGGGTCCCACTATAAATCTTCCATGCCCGTGATCAATGTTATATTTGAACAAATAATTAATTGATAAACAAGATGACATTTCCCTCCCTCATCCTGTATGGACCTAATGGAGAAACAAAAGAATGTCAGAAAGAAACTAAAATAGCTCAATAATACCAAGTTTCAGAGTAAGATAGAGATAATCAAATTCATGGCAGCATTAGACTGAAGTGACCCTTTCCATGTGGGTGGACAGAGTGTGCCCTTGGAGGGACAGAATGCTTGCTCTGTGCAGGCAGATTGTTCCCAAAAGGAGCGTAGCTGAGACTCAGCCAGCTGTGTTCAGATATTCTAATCTCATTTACAAAACACGCCATTTGCTCCCTATCTTCCGAGGTAATGTGAGGGAGGGAGGGAGGGGAGATAGCCCGACACAGGCTCTGTCCTAACAGCAAGAATGAGGACATCAAATCGTTGACTGAAATTGAGACAGCAGATGCCAGCACGTCTCTAAATCCCAATTCACCAACAGCCCTTCCTTTGGGTCCGACGAGGATCATTCTGTCTCTCTTCTTGTACTAATTTCAACTGTTTTCATTTTCCTCATTTCCTTACCTTGAAGGTTTTTCTCTATGATTTCCACAGACAAACATGGCTGCATCTTTCCACCTTAGAGATTCTCGCTGCCTTTGGCCCTGACTACTTTCTACAGGCACAGTTCTTGTTTGGAAGCGAGAGCCTTCTGAGAGTCATAGGATCCATGTCTTCATCCCCTCTTCTCCTTCAGCCCCCTGAAACTGACTTCTGCCATCTCCGTTACTGGAAAATGCTCTTATCATTCAAAAATTAAGTGAGTATTTGTTAGTCCATTTCTTTCCCCACCCCAGCAGTGATTAACACTTATGCCTACTCTCTATATGTTTTAAATCTCCTTTCCTTGAGGTTTCAATGACAACCCTTTCTGGTTTATGTCCTTAAGAAGTGTCTTCACTCCTTAAGGAAGCATTTAAATTACCAATACATGATGATTTTCAAATTATAACATGTCAAATGTTTACCTGAATATGATATTTGCCTAGATACATAATCAGTATATTCATATAAATGTACCCATTAAGGTCTATTGATAACTAAGTTGGCCATATTCCACCTCAAACGAGGACATCAATATGCCCAGTCATGATAGTCCAGACCCTGGAAATCATTTTTTATTTTCTCTACCTCTTCAAATCTCTCATTCAGTTCTATATGAAAGTTGTATTCAAATCAATCCCTTTCGGAGCTTGTCCATCTGTAGCTCCGCCCACCGCCCTCACTCAGCTCTGATAGGGTCCGCGTTTCTCATATCGCTGACAGGATGGGTGTTCTGAACTTAACACACTGGGCCAGCTGAACCTGGACACTGGGTGTCAGTGAGGAGCCATTCAGTGACTGCTCTAAGACTTTTGTCTGGCTGTTTGCTTCTGGTTCTTCTAGGGACATTGCCATACCAAAAGTCAATCTTTAGCAAAGTTTCCTGCTCTGCTCTGTAACCGTTCAGGGACCCTGAGGGAGAATCAAGCCATGTGTGGCCTGACACCTTCCGAATTCATAGCCCAACTCTTAGTCCTTCCTTGTTTTCACCTGTCACTGATAGGATTCACCTGGAACATTCTGCACCATGTTCTCTCAAGCAAGCAGATAGGAAATGTGAAGAAGGGGCCAGACAAAGTATGATCTTCAGGGCACACACCCCACTTAGTGATCCACTTCCTTAGCCTTAACCCTACCTCTGAAAGTTTGTATTAATGTATATTAGCCAGTTAAACTATACATTCATCAATAGGTCAGCATGTGGATGAGGTTGGCATCCCAGTGGTCCAAATACCAAATACCAGAGGACCAATCTTTAAACACTACTGCATTGGAAATGAAGACTTGAGGTGGGGCACACGTCATATACACACTGTAAAAATACTTAGACATCAGGATCCATTTCCAAGTCTCCACTAAATTGAGAAATATAAACTGTACGGAGAACAATTTTGTTCACCACAAAATCTGATTTTCTGTATATAATTTAAAATATACTTCATGATTTTGCTCTAGGCTGTCTTCCTCTCTCAGGATGTTCACCTCTGATTATCTGCCTAAGTGAAATCTCATGGATTGGCCTTGGCATAGACTCTTTGCTCAGCTGAAATCCTAACTTCGCTCACAGTGATATGAAGCTTTTGAAGTATCCAGAATTTTGGACCCAATGTAGTCACCGTGTGATCATCTGCACAAACAGAGGCACCTGTGTGGTCTTTGGTGCTGCAGGTGCCTTCAGCAGCACCGTTCTGTTCCTCATATAAATCATGCAGTCCTCCAGGTTCTGAAAATCTCAGGGGGCACAGCATGGCAGTTACTACCTAACTATATTTTAAAACCAGAACTTAAATATCAAACTCAGTGCTTCCCATCCTTCCGCATTTGCTCTAACATATACGCTATAAAATTTTAACTCTGGAAGAAGTTATGCATCGACTTTTAAATGAAATATAAGCAAATCAATACTTGTTTTTTATTATGCAGTTTTGCCATGGAATGGATATTCTATCAGAAATACAATTGTCTTGTTCTGTTTTATGCTATTGAAACAGAATATCCTAGACCAATTTATATAGAGCAGAAAGATTTCTTCCTCCAGTTCTTAAACCTTAAAGTTAAGGTTGAGGGCTCGCTTCTGAGCAGCGTCTACATGTCACAACTGGAGGGGGGTAAGACCACACAGAGGGAATCAAGATGGGCCAACCATCTTTTGGAAGAATCTGTTCTGGTCAGGATGAATATGCCTGTGATAGTGCTATTAATCATAACGGTAATCGTGACAAACTCTTCAACTGATCACTCTCTTCCAGTGCTGATGCCCTAGGGACCGAGTCTCCAACACATAGGCAATCACACTAAAGTCATGTCAACTGCCAACACCAGTTTTTAAAAAGGGATCTGCGACGCCATCTCAGCATTTGATGCTGAGACTGTGAGAAAGGGGTTGAACTCCTTTCTAAGCACCGTTTGTCATCAGGAATCTTGGCTATTTGTTTACTGTAGTTAACTCTGTGTTCCCTGAAGGGAAATAGTCATGTATGCATCTCTAATGTGGAAAGTTTGAGTCCCATGAATAACAAATAAATGAAAGTAATTAGCACTTTGAAAATCATGGGCTAAGAATCTGGAAACAACCTAGGTGCCCCTCCACCAAAGAATGGGTAAAGAAAATGTGGTACATTTACACAGTGGAGTATTACTCAGCTGTGAAAAACAATGACGTCATGAAATTTGCAGACAAATGGACGGAACAGAAAAAAAAAAAAAAGTCATCCTGACTGAGGGAGCCCAGACCTTGAAAGACAAACACGATATGTATGTACTCAATTATAAGTGGATATTAGATGTAAAGCAAAGCATAATCACAGCCTCAAAGAAGGTAGGTAAAAAGGCAGACCCTAACAGAGTCACACATTGATCACCCTAGAAGGGGAAATAGATAAGATCTCTTAAACTGGGAGTGGGGTAGGGAGAGGGGAGAGGATGGGAGATGAGGCCATGAGGGTACAGAATGGTTGAATTGGGGGAGGGACAGAGGGATGACAGAGGGAGCCATTATGGGGTTAGGAGAAACCTGACGCTAGGGAAATTCTTAGGAATCCACAAGGACGACCCCAGCTAAGACTCCTAGCAATACTGGAGAGGTGCCTATAGTGGCCTTCCCCTGTAATCAGATTAATGACTACCCTAGTTGACATCAGAGAACCTTCATTCAGTAACTGATGGAAGCAGATGCAGAGATCCAACAGCCAAGCACTGGGTTAAGCTGCTGGAGTCCAGCTGAAGATAGGAAGGAGAGATTATATGAGCAAGGGTGTAGGGTCAAGATCATGATGGGAAACCCCATAGAGACAACTGCCCTGAGCTAGTGGGTGCTCATGGATCCTGGACTGATAGCTGGGGAGCCTGCATGGGATAAACAAGGTCCTCTGAATGTGGGTAACAGTTCTGTGACTTGGGCAATCTGTGGGGCCACTGGCAGTGGGACCAGGATCTATCCCTGGTGTATGAACTGGCTTTTTAGAGTCCTTTTTTTTGTGGAAGGAAACCCTGCTCAGCCTTGATGCAGGGGTAGGGACTTGGTTCTGCCTCAACTTGATATGCCAGGCTTTGTTGACTCCCTATGGGAGGCCTTACCCTTTCTGGGGGGGTGGATGGTGGGGGGGGAAGTGGCAGGGGAGCAAGAGGAGGGGAGGGAGGGGGAACTGTGGTTGGTGTGTAAAATGAATAAAAAATTTAAAATAAAAAAATGAAAAGTCAGAGAGAAAGAAAAAAAGAAAAATGAAGGTTATGGGGTACATACTGTGGCCCAAGTAACTAAAACAGTGTAACAAGAATGTTTCATTCATACCTCAGTTTTTCACCTTCTGTCTCTAATTCCTTGTCAAATGTACTAATTTGGGTCTGAAGTTTCCATTTTCCCTTCTCCACAGGTCAGCCATCCCCCATGCAAGTGCCCTATCATAGACATAATCAACTGTTTAGATGCTTATTGGAAAAGTTGATGTTTAATTCTGTATTATATTAATACACTTTTCTCAAAAACAACTTCAAGTTTGGATTGTCTTGACTTACACAGAACCTATTACTATGATACAGTTAACTGAACAACGTGGAAAGGGGGAACTTTTCTGAAAGGGACCCGTAAGTTGGGTTTTAACGCATTTTTGTGTTCTTTCCAGTTTCCCAGGAAAAGAGAGCTCCACATCACTCAGAAAGACTAGCAAATAAAACTGAATATTTTTAGGGTTATTTCTGCCTAACAGCTACACTTTAGGAGAACTGAAAGAGCTCTGCTAAGAAAGTCCCCTTCCCCACTGGCGTTTTTAACGAAGGTTCCAGTCCCAGGGTAAGATGAACTGTCATCCAAGTAGAAAAACCTACCGAGTTAAGTCCTAAACAAGACAGGCATGCTTTGGGCTTTGCAGAACTACCAATCTAGGAAGGAGGCCGCTGTTGAAGAGTAAAAAGCTGTGTGTGTCTAAGAGGAGAAACCCAGAGTGCCTGGGAAGGCGCTAGAGAAGAGGCCTGGTGGGCGAGCCATTGACCGTAGCACCGGACGGTCCACCGTGCTGACTTGGCACTGTTGCGTTGCTTCACAGGGATCTTGATTGGGCTGTCCTTTGTCTCATCACGTGTCTTCTGCACTGTATGCTCCCTAGGTCCCCGACAAACTTAAATCAAACGTCCTAAGGCTGTAACACATGTCAATTCTAAGCCTAGAGGAGGATGTAGTTTGTGTTCATCCTGTCTTTTGATGGTTTTATTTCAAAACCAGATCCATCTCCACTCCAGTCGGTATGAAAGCAGCAAGAACCAAAACACAAACACCTAAAGGCCGGGCCTAAGGAAGAGGAGTCAAGAGGTCTGCTCTCTTTTCATCTGGGCTTTCCGCCAAGGACAGAGAAGGAGCCTTGGAGAGCCGGGTGAGTCAGCTGAGCTCACTAGGCCCTGCTTTGGTGCCAGAGGCCTGCCGAGAGGAATGTCTGTGCAGGCCAACCTTGCAGTGGTCCCAAGAAATCAAAAGATGGACTGCTTTTCAAGGCCTCAGGGGTCTCAGAAAGGCTTTCTTCTCACTGAGTTCTTAAGAAACCAGACACACAGCAGGATGAAAGCAGGACCAGCATTTTCCTTTGGGAGATGCACTCCACTGTTTGAAGTGTTTTCCCTGCTCTTTTAGATGTGGGCGCCCACATCCATACTTCCCATCCTTCTAGGGGAGGTAGATGTGTGTTCTCATGCCTCACGGTCAAGGCCAGGCTGTACCCGACCCTGTCCCTTCACATTTCCCAGAACAGTTTTAGCAGGTGTGCCTAGCCTCAGGAGACTGCATTTTAAAGTCGTTTTGCTTTCATTTTCAGAGAGAAGGCTGACTGCAAATCCTGGGTTCACTATCTGCCAAGCACGCGATCCTTGACTGTTCCTGAGAAAACAAAGCCTTCTATACATTAACAGTTGAGAACTGAGACTGAAGGGCACATCAGTATGCTAAAATCAGAGAAACCATGGCCAAGAACGTATCAGATGCCCAGAGCAAGGGAATGATATGGACACCTAATACAGCCCATGGCACAGCTTCTCACCAACCTATCGTCTGAAACGTGGTTTGGACAGTGAGGATTGAGAATCCTGGACTGAGGGTAGGTCCCCTGCTACTGATGCAGCCCATTCAATTGCCTATCTGTCCACCTGTTCCCTTGTCTATACCTGTTCCACATCCTGCTCTGACTGGGTCCAGCCTTTTCACGACACAGCTGAATTCTACAGCTTTGCTCTCAAGCCCGACTCCCACAGCTCTTCCAATAGCAACACCACCAGCAGCTCCCTCCCAGCCGGGGCTGGCCCAGTGCCTTATCTACACAGACGCTCTCAGGCGACTTCTGAAACCCTGCCAGCTTTGCTGCATACTTTTGAAGCTTGTAGTCAGCGTTCTAGGCTGATGCGCGGATAGCTACCTGTATTTACTGTGTGCTAAGTGAAGTGTGGTGTGAGAATATTTGTAAATAAGATTGGAATGAAGAACTGTGTTTGCCTTGCCCAAGGTGCCAAGGTATGCAGACTTTAGAGCAAAGTGCTAAACTTGTAAATTTGTTGTTATCCAATAAATTCTGACCTTGTGGAAAGGCATGCTGTGTTCATGTATGTTTCTGGCATAGCATGGTCATTCTGTCACAGGGGTTAATTGGGCTACCTTTGCCAGGGTCAAAGCTTTATCTGGGTCAAAGCATAGGTCACCACGGCCTTGCTTCCTTCTCTGCTTCGCAGCAACTACCTGGTAAGATGGTATGGGGATAGAGTCTGGGGTCAAAGGCTGAGCTTCCTTTCTTCCCACCCTCTTGCTGAGTTTGTAGCACAACCTTGGACTCTTCACCCAAACACAGGTGAACTAAAGAAGCTTCCCCTGATGGACTTTTCTTCGCACTTCTTAAGGGTCTTATTGGAGTCACAGGGAAAAAAATTAAATAAAGGATGACAGAGGGATCCTAAAAGCGAGCCCTCCAGTCTGAGACTACTCGGGCCAATAGGCTCAACATAAGAAGAAAGTCTTTCGTATGCGCAGTCATTTTAACTAGACTTCTGGACTGTGGCTAGAAGCCAATTCCCAGCTAATAAAATTTTTACTGTTGTTCTTTTATTTTCTTCCTTGCTCAGTTGCTTGTGAGACTGGACCTCTCAGAGGTACTAAGGGAGAAAATAGGTGCTTGCAGAAATTAGAACGATATTCTTAATACTCATTGGGAAAACAATGTTCAGTAGTATTTTAGATGAGATCTGGTGTGATCTTCTGTAACCAGGCAAGGCTCCCAGTGGTGGAACTGGGACACTAACCCAGCCACAAAACCTATGACCCATCCCTGTCCTGCCTGCAAGCAAGAGGCACTGGGGCAATGTTGGCTCAGAGCTCGTGGGGGTGACCAAACAGTGATAGGTCTAATATGAAGTTCATAACACAAGGACCCATGCCTGGCACTGCCTGGATGGCCAGGACCTGGGATCTGGATGACTCAGCATCCTAGGGTAAAGGCCAAAATTATATTCTGCAATACTCATAGATCAGTGCCTAGACCAAGCATCAGAGAAGCTTCCTCTAGCAACTGATGGGAACAGATGCAGAGACCACAGCCAAACATTAGGCAGAGCTCAGGGAACCCTGCAGAAGAGGAGGAGGAAAGATTTTAGGAGCTTGTAGGAGCCAGAGGATTCAAGGACACCAGGAGAACACAGCGCAGCTTCACAGATACTGAAACAGCAACCACAGCGCCTGCATTGGTTTGCTCTAGGCCCTCTACATACAGGTTGTTAATTCTTTAGCTGAGTTTTTTTTTTTTTGTGTGGGATCCTAACAGTCGGCGGCGGCGGGGGGGAGCTGACCCTTTACCTGCTTTGGGAACCCTTTTCCTCCTACTGGGTTGCCTCATCCTTGATGTGAGGGCTGCTGCCTTGCCTTATTGCATAGCATTGGGCCATATTCAGTTGCTATCCCACAGGGGCTAGTTCTTTCTGAAGGGAAACAGAGGAATGACGGATGGAGGGGGGCTAAAAGGAGAAGGAGAGAGGGGAGGCTGAAGTCAGTGTGTATTATATGAGAGAAGAATAAAGAAAGAGAGAAAAAATAATATTTTGGTTTTTGCAAATTTACTTAAAAAGCCTGAAAGCTTAGGATTAAAGGATAAGAAGGGTTGAATGTGTGACTCTGTTGTTCAGTGTTTGCTTTGCAAGCACACAGACCTGAGTCTGATGCCCCAGGACCTCTGAAAAAGCCAGGCATGGTGACTTGCACTCATAATCCTAGCAATGAAGGAGCAGAGGCAGTCAAATATCCAGGGCTGGCAGCCAGCCTAGCCTGCTTGGTGAGGAGCAGGCTAGTGAGGGGTGTGGATCAAGAACAAAGGTAGCAACTGAGAACAACACTGAAGGTTGTCCTTTCACACACACACACACACACACACACACACACACACACACACACGCACATACATGCACACACATACTAAAGTGCTTAAAGCAAAATGCTATTTTGTTGTAGAATCTGTTTTACTAATAAAGGCATCAGGGAAAACCCTGGCCTTCACTGTAAACAGTACAGCATACAGCAGAACCAGGTGCTTACAAAAGAGTTGTGAAGGACAAAAACACCCTCACCATGAACCAAAGACTGTTCCCCTTTAACAAATGGTACCCCTGGTCTTGCTGATGCTCCTCTGGCCTACGAGATTTCCAATCACTGAAAACTAAACGTTGAGACAAATGAACACGGGTAGTGTCTTAGTTAGGGCTTCTATTGTTTTGAAGAGACACCATGACCACGATAACACTTACAAATTAAGCATTTAATTGAGGGGACTTTCTTACAGTTTTGAGGTTCAGTCCTTTATCATCATGATGGGGAGCATTGCAGGATGCTCTGCTGGAGGACTTCAGCCAGACATGGAGTTTTGACCAGAAGGCAGCAGGAAGCTGACTGACTGTCACACTGAGGGAAGCTTGAGAAAAAGACCTCAGAGCCCACCCCACAGTGACACACCTCCTCCAACAAGACCACACCTACTCCAACATGGTCACACCTCCTAATAGTGCCACTCTGCTTGGGGGTCATTTTCTTTTACACCACCACAGGTAGGATCATATCTTTGCCGTGAATCACACTGTAGTCAAGGCTCTCAAGCTCCTCCATAAATGGTGACGTACCAGAGGGTAATAAGCGTAAAGACTTCCCATTGCACAGGGTTAGATGCATTATCTCTTCCTAGCAACAGTATCATATAAGTTCTGATATTCTGAGTCTCAGAGATCTCCACCTATATAGCTTTCGCGGCAGTCTGAGCCACCCTGCGAGGTAGGTGGACCAGTGGTGGATCTTCCCTTCGCGGAGTTCGCATGCTCAATCGGGGGCCCCTTATTCTTCATTAGAGGGTTTACATGCATAGTTTAAAGTGCACACGAGAGTTTCCAGCACAGCCTCATGTTGTGCAACATCTGGGATTCTCTACAGTATTAGACAGCTCAACCTGTCTCCAGCATAGTGTCCTTGACGAAATCTAGATGATATACAGGTGGCACAACACTCCATGTGACCTCTTGACATGATTAGGAGACACAATGGAAGGAGAGAGAGAATGTGGATTGTTGGCAGGGCACAGCATGTTAGGAACCCCAGGGCCTCAGGCCCACGGGGGAGGCAAACCCTTCGCCAGTTGAGGCTCCAAAGAATGACGAGACTTCCTTCGGGTCCAAATATGAATTCTTGACAGCTTGTAAAGAAAATGTCCACCCTTGCTTTTGTTTTTCCCAGATGTTTACAGACTAAAGACTGTTCCCCTACAGAGTCTGCTCCGGATGAGATTAGCCAGGTCCTTGTTCAGCTGTAGACAACAAACTGAACTGTGAACTGTATGCAAGAGCCTCACCTCTATGTTCAAATGAGTATAAGGCACATGAGTTCCTGGGATGCTGCAGCTTCTCCATCAGAGAGCTCGGACCACAATTAAAGCTCTTCTGTGTCTGTGTGTCTGTCTGTGCTTTCTTTGTTTATTCACCTGGAATCAGGGTTCCTGGACCCACACTGTGCGAGGAAATGGCAATGCAGGGAAAAGGAGATGAGGCTGCTCCACACTGCTTCACAGAAAACTCTTATTAGCAGAAGGAACACGTGTTAAGACGATGATTCAACAGTAGAGCACGGTAAGTACAGCAGCCGGGAACATTGCTATGTATTATTACCAGGTGCCATGTATTATACATAATAGTATGTGTTCCACTTGTATAACTGGCCACGCAGTAGCTGTGGCATCACCACAGACACGTGAATCATTAGGTGTTCAATACAGTCACCTGGGGACAAAAGTGTGCGTGCTGCATTATAACCTTGGGAAGTCACTGTTGTTTGGGTGGCCCACTATTGACAAAACCATTATGCTGCATGTGACTTTAACTTAAAAATGAAACCAAATTTTTTTATTTTTAGCTTTGGATCAGGACTTCTCACACTTCTTTCATGGTGATGCATTTTCATCTGAGAAACATTTATACAACCTTGGGAGTAAGCATATATAAACAAGGTGTATAAATCAAGTATTTACTGATTAAAAAAACATACAGAATTTTATTTTAAAGCATTTTTGATATGTATATCAAAATTACCAATCATTTGCAATAAAAGAATATCTGCATATTAATAAAAGATATTCTTATTCATTTTGCATAAATAATAAACCTTGTCAGATTATTTTATATTGCAGGAAAATAGATCTTTTTTTTTAAAGTTCTCAGAGTTTTTATGATGTCATCATCAGCATAAGAATATAAGATTGCTTTGCAAGATATCACAGTTATGCTTAGGAAAATTTCAGAAATTGTCTTAATTCTAAACAACAGTCATTTAATACTTTCTTTATGATACCCAATCCAGCAACTCAACCAGCAAGCTTTAAAATAAAATTTAATAATTAAATTTAATAATTTAATTTAATAATTAAAATAATTTAATATTATTCTAGCATAATACAATCCAAAGAATTACTTATTTAATATATGCCAGGGACGGTGGAAGAAAAATACTGTCACCTTCCCCACAATTAAAACATTCTGTTTCTCAAAACCTACAAAAGCGTTGTATGTACAAGAACATGCAATAGTCTTATACCTAAGACAGGTTCCAGCCCGGTGTTTGTTGGCGCTGTTTGAACTGAGAACTATTCAGGGTGAAGGTATGTATTTTATGTTCAGAATCAAGGATACAGGGGTCACACAGTGTGGCACAGACAAGCACTGACAGGAATGCTTTGGGGGAGATGGAGGAGGGAGGGAGGAAAGGGGAGAGACAAATACAGAGCAGGAGGGGCACAGTGAAGAGCAAAGGTTAAAGTTTTCCATGGCAGGGGCAGGAAGGTCTTGAGTTTGTTCACAGGAGGTTGCCTGTGGAGCGCTGAGCAAAGTGCAGCAGGGATCACACCAAGGTCCTTGTGTGTGATTGGTATTATATTCCCAGAGTGTGTTCTTTTTTCCCTAGCAAATCTCATCTACTTCCATGAATTAAAGAATCATTAAATCACTGGCACCCCCAAAACTGGATCTCTAGGCTGAACTTCTCTCCCATTTTCTGACTGATGTGTTGGCTTGCTTA